TATGGCAAATAATGAAAATCAAAATGCATCTAGTTACTTGGCACCTGTTATAACCCCCCAAAACTTGATTAATGCATATTTTCATTTTGCTTTAAACAAATAATTGCGCTAGATATCAATGATCATATTGCATAATGGTAAAGTATTGTGGTAAAAAGAGTAAGAACAAAATGTGTAAGAAGTCAAAGACTGTAGAACACTATAGGACAGTGTGGTAGTGAAAAGGGTAAAGATAGAGAGTAAATGGGGTTAAAGCAGGGGGGAAGAGTAATTTGATAAAAAAAAAGGTATGTTTGCATCTCATGAAGGATATAAGAAGATTCCATGAGGATATAAATACAGGCTGGGCTCTAGGAAAACAAGTGAGGAAGAGCAGGGAGATAACAGAGTGTGGGACTGAAAGAGAAACCACTCTGAATATATCAAAGGGTAATAAGGGTAGAGATAGATGTTGGTAAAGTAAACCACCCAGGGAATGAGACGTGGAACCAGGAGAAGGATAGTGTAGTGAGAAAAGGAAAAGGGAGTCATATTAGCATCCAGGAAGGAGCAGAAGGTTAATGGGGAAAGAAGAGTAGGGGTTGTAGATGGAGAAGGGGAAGATGGGCTGTGTTGGGAGAGACAGGGAGGAAGAGGGGTAGGAGAAACATGAGGTGGATGAGGATGGACGTTGGCAGTCGTTTTGAATGTAGAGGTTATGGAAGAGGACTGAAGGGTCGATGAGGTAGAAGAGCATACTCTTGGGTCATATTTGAGAGGAGGAGGAGGGGGAGAAAGAGGAGGTGGAGGAGGAAAAGAAGAAGAGAGGAGGGGAGGGGGAGAAAGAGCAAAAAAGGAGAAAGCACAGGAAGACGAGGAGAGAGAGCAGGAAGAGGAGGAGAAAGAGCAGGAAGAAGAGGAGAAGAGCAGGAAGGAGAGAGAGAGGAGAAAGCAGGAAGAGGGGAAAGAGGAGAAAAAGAAGGAGAGAGAGAGCAGGAAAAGGGGAAAGAGGAAAAAGAGAGGAGAGAGGGCAAAGACGATGATGATGAGGAAGAGAGGAGGAGAGAGATGATGATGATGATGATGAAAAGAGGGGGATGAGTATGATGATGAGAAAGGGGGGATGTGGATGAGGATGGTGAGAAAGATAGGATAGGATAGAAGGGGGAGTATGGGGAAGAGATACTGGGGGATATGCTGAGATATCTTGGAAAGAAAGAGAAACAGAGGGCAAAGGACAGTGTTTGAATAATAATGCAGAATAAATAAAGGGTCCCTTGAGGGATAAGGGCCACATGATTTGCCTAAGAAATACCATGCCCATGGCTCCCTGGTATAGTGCCAGCCTTTCATCCTTTCAGCATATTAAGGATAATAAAGAAAAAGGCAAAAAAAAAAAAAAAAAAAAAAAAAAAAAAAAAAAAAAAAAAGACTAAGAGGATATGGAATGGAGGAAGTTGGGAGAGAGGAAGGGATGTATTCTGAAGGTTGAGTAACAGCCTGGGTGAATGATTCAAAATGGAAGAAGGTGACTGCAAGCATTCACAAGGGGATGCAGAAGCAGTGGTCTGATTCTCAAACGAGACTTAGGGGTTGCGTAACTAGATGGTGATGGAGTAGCAAGCCTTAACAAGAGTATAAAATCTTCATTACTGGCCATAGTGAGGCAGAAATATGTGGGGAAATATGTGGTCTCTTCTCAGGGTCCCCTTAAGGGTAAAGGCTAGATGATTAACATTGGGAATACAGTGCTCATGGCTTCCAGAGGCTATTCAGGACTGTCCAAGGCCAGCTTTTATCCTTTCAGCATTCCTCTTACACCTCAGGAAGTGGAAAGAAGAGATTGGAGAAGAGAAGGAAAAGGAAAGAGGGAGAAGAAGAAAGACCATGCAAAATTGGTTGTGTCAAGGACTGAGGCCCAAGATTGGTGTGATCCCCAACATTGGGCCCAAGCCTTCTTCTATGCCCCTACGGTGGTTAATGGGTATAAATTGGGGGAATGGAGGTTAAGTATAACTAATATCATTGGTTCCTTCTTACAATACATGAGTTGCTTTTACACAAACACATTTATTCAAAGTAATCTATGAGACTGCTTGTGATTCTCAGGGTCCAACTTATACACATGCTACACCATCTTGAAATAAGGTTTACTCTCCGGCTTTTAGTGTGTGAAGCAGTATCCATGCTTAAACAATATGTAAGACTCTTAGGATGGCAAGATGATTCTTTAAATGGGAGTGGTGGTTTCCTGTCACTATGCAAGGGTATGACCATACAAAAGTGCAGAAGTTGATGAGAAAAGTTTCAACATGACAGAGCTGTAATGGTTTAAATATCTAAAAAGTAAAATGCCGAAGTTCTTTCCATGATTTTAGTGTCCAAGCTTCCTTTTTTTTTTAAATCTGACATGGCATTTCAAAAAGGTTTTCTGTATAATATTTAAAGATCTTGGGCATGGAACTTTACCAAAAATAACAAACTTTGACTTCAAAAATTTCTATACCCAATTATATGAAATATTCATACCAGAATAAGATAGCAATTTTTCATTATATATAAAACAAGCTTTTGACTGAGCTTTGCTCCCTTACTACCATACATTTTTTTACTTTGTGACCTTGAAATACTGAAGGCACTTCAAATCTTTTCATTATGAATTAGTAAACATTTCATGTTTAGGATTAGTAAATACATTTGATGCCTGAAGCTTAGAGATGCACCTTGCAAAAAAAAATCAATTTAAAGGAATTATTACTTACATGTAGATTGATCCCAAATTTGTCTTGTTTTACAAACTCTATACCTGTTTTTATGATACAGTATGATCACCAGAAAGAAAAAAAAGATCACTCAGCAGCTGGGCATACTCTCTCTCATCTGTATATGAATCCCCAATATAATTACCAATAATTTTTTGTAAATACACTCTTTATATAAATATATTTAAGGATAGATAAACAGGAATCCTGTGGGATCATTTTTATTTCACAAAAAATCTAACATATACTGGAAAAGAAGTTGGTATCAATAAAAAAGGAAGATAAATTAAAACTAAAAAAAAAAAGAAAAAAGAAAAAGTGAAAAAAAATATATATCTGTATATAATGAAACTAAAATAAGAGAACTTTATCCTCTATTAACCATGACTGAATTAACTTTCATCAATAAGGAGTATAAACAGTTAATTTTTAAAAACATGTACCTTTGTTAGATCTTCAAAACATTTCTACTTAATCTATTATATTAGAAAATGGTGATAATAGATTCAGCCATGGCCTTTTTTAACTAGCTTAGATGGAAGTATAAAGCTCATGCTCAACTTCTTCAACTTCTCATATGCAGTTTTTAGTATATGGTTCATATATATACCAACTTTGTCTAATGAAATGACTTTTTTACAAACACATCACTAAAAGAGAGCACTTTAGAATGAAAAGACTCCTTTCAAAATAACCCCCCTGCATCAACCTCCCCAGTAATGCCCTTACTACCTTCTCTGGAAGTAAAATCTTATCGCCTATCTTTCCTGTCACCTTTCCTCTCTTTATCCCTGCTCCTACTCCTGTCTCTTCTACGTTCTCTACTCCTGCTCCTCTCCCTTTTCCTCTCCTTGCTTTTGCTCCTAATATTCTTTTGTCCTTGTCTCTCTCCCTCTCCCTCTCTTTTTCCCTTTCCCTTCGTCTACCAGCATCCCTCTCCCTTTCCTTATCCCCTTCCTTAGCTTTCGAGCCCTCCTTTTCCTTCCCTTTTGTGTCTTTATCTTTACTTTTCTCTTTTGCATCTCTCTTACTCTTTTCCTCATCACTTGGTGGCTCCTCCTTTATTTTAACATTCACTGCCTTCCCATGTTCTGTGAGTCCTTCTTCTTTGTCATTTTCCTGCTCTTCTTCTCTCCCCTTCTCCTTCACTATCACTACTGCTATCCCCACTTCTTGATTCTCGTCCTCTCCGCCTCACCTTTCTCTTCCTTCTCTCCTGATCTGACTCAGAGTCGGTGCCTGAGCTGGTGGTGGAGCTGGAGTCACTCTCCGAGTCAGATGAAGACCCAGAGGATGACCCGGAGCTGGATGACGAGCTCTCTGAATCTGAGCTACCACTATCACTACTATCGCTGCTACTATCACTACTGCTGTCTTCACTACTGCTATTGTCTGATGAGCCCGAGTCATCACCCTTCTTCTTCTTTTTCTTTTCTTCACCTGCTTTCTTCTTCTTCCTTTTCTCAAGCTTCTTCTGTGCTTTCTGTGCTTTTGCCTTTTCATCCCTGTTGTGTTTGGACTTGGATGAAGATTTTTTACCTACCTCTGTTTCCCCTTCCTTGTCATTCTTATCCTGTGTGTTTTTGCTCTCTGTGGGAGGTGGATCTTTCCCACTTGTTGGACTGTGGGACAAGGCAGCTGGTTCATCATCATTTTTGTGGCTGCTGCTCTCCTCCATTCTCTCAGGATCTTCTGTTTGGCATTCCTGTTGCTCCTCCTCACTGGGTTCAGGACCCGCAGGGGGAGGGGAAGGTGGAGCAGCAGTGGCTGGAGGCAGTGGCAATGTGGATGCAGGAGGTAAAGGGGGATTTCGGTGGGGACGGAAGCCACATCCACATCAGGCTTGTCAGCTGTGCTTGTGGGTGCCTTGTCAGGTTTCTCCTCCTTGACTTTCTTGAATGCAGCCTCGGATGCCTTGGGCCCTGCTTCATCATCATCGTCTTTCTCAATTTTGACATGCACAACCGTGGCCTCCAGCTCTGTCTCTTTATTGTAGAGGGTCTGCACTTCTCTGTTCTTGCCTGTGTCCCTATTCTTTTCCCTCTCTACTGTATCTCTGCTCTTCTCCTTTGACTTGTCCCTCTCCCTCTCTCTCTCTTTATCCCTCCCAACAATCCTGTCTTTCCCTCTATCTCTTTCCATCTCCCTATCTCTATCCTTCTCTCTAATTCTATCTTTCTCTTTACCCTTTCCTTGTTCTTCCTATCCCTGTCTCCTTCCCTATTCTTATCTTTCTCCCTATTGTACCTATCCCTTTCCTCTCCCTGCTCCCATCCTTGTTTCCCTTCATTCTCCTTCTCACTATCATTGCCTTTACTCTCTCTCTCTAAACCTGATGTTCCTTCCTCTGACTGGCTAGCTACAATTTCTACCTTTCGAGCACCTTCTCCCCTGCCGTCGACCTGGACTACCATACGCTCAGTGTCATCATCATCCTTACCTGACAGGTCTGCCTCACCATATACTAGCTCTCCCTCCTCAGCCTCGTAATCTAACAAATCTGTGAAGGGAAACATTGGAAGTTGATTATCTATGATAATCAATAACCGATACTTAATCATACGTTATAACCAACAATATTCATAAAGATAAAAATATTTTGCATAGCAGACTGATTAAACTTACCAGGACAGTTATCAAGAGAGGTACTGACACCCCCTCCCCCTGCCTGGCGACGGCTGAGCGGACCCCCCTGTGCACGTAGGTCTCCTCCTCCTCCTCCTCCCCCCCCTCTGCGCCATCCCTGCCCATCTCGCCCTGATCATCCTCTGCACGTGACCCTAGTATCTCCTCCAGCTCTTCCTTCATCCGGAGACGGTCCTCTTCGAGTTCCCCTGCAAAAGTTGATCGAGTTAAATAAATAAACTAAGCATTCTCTTGGGTTATAGAATATAAAAATTTATAATAAATTATGAGCTTTTTTAAAACTAAAACAAACAAAAGTTTTTATTATTAACAATGAAATAAAGAGGGTTATCTCCATTATACACAAAAAAGGTCTACCTCACTCATAGACCAAATATTTCAAAAGATTCCCATATGTTTATGCTTTAATTTTAGCTAGTACTTGCCAGTGCCTTTTATAAATACATTAGAGGTGTCATTGTTTACCACCAAATTAGTTGCAAGACACAGCAAAAACCAAGAAATATAAAAGTTCTCTTTATGACATCCTGCAGATATTACAAAAGATTTAACTATACCTGAGGATTGATGACAAAGAATATCATAAAGATAGAGCAATGTATGGAGATATTATCAATTACCATGTAAATGTTTCCATAAAAAATTTAAAACTGTAATCTGCAAAATAATGGTATAATGGTATAAGTACTTTCCATGAATATGCCCTATCAAACAACTACTTTTTATTCTGAAAATGAACACAGTGAAATGAATTAACAAAAAGAAGTTAGTGGCTACTTAACCTGAAAGCCATTCAAATAATGCACTTCTATACAAAACTCAATGAGACCATTCTTCAAATATTTCTCACAACATGACCTGCATCAACTACAGTTACAACTCATGCACTTCTAATTACTTTGCATTCTAGAATAAAGTCAAACTTACTCATGATGTTATCGTGTGAGGCTCGCACGAGGCTAGTGGTCTTGGCAGTGTGGGTTCGAGGGATCCAAAAGATGGAGGGCGTGGACTTGGTTCTTATGAATCTGGTTAATTTCATCTGGTGTGCCTCCCACTGCTCATGCTGAAAGAATTTATAATGATGCTCAAATAACAGATACAGAAAAAAATCCTTTGACAAACCTTTCCCATGCCATATCCTATTGCCTATGCAAGAAAAAATTGATATTTAATTCATTTATCATCAAATACATATATATCTGTCATGTGAACAGAAGTTCCCTGTGTTCTCACACACAATCTCATTTGCTTGAGCAAACATGCATTAAGGAGAGACTCACCTCTTTCACACGGGCCATCTTAACAGTGAGACGTTTGATCTGTGCTTTCCTCTCTTGCCTCTGGTTGATCAGTTCTAGTCGCTCTCGGCGCAACTCCTCCTTTTCCACACGACCTTTTTCTTCCAGCTTCCTCTCAATGGCAGCGCGCTGTTCTTCCTATATACAATACTGGGAATTACTGTGTGTAACACAACTTAATATTTTCCCTTTTCCACATACATGTCAAGGTACTGATATGTCTCATGAAAGAATTGAGAATTACGGGAAAAAAGTCATTTCTAAGATCAGCTCACCTTATCCTTCTGCTTTGCTTCATCATTCTTGAATCGCTTGAGAGTACCAAGTAGAGCACCAAACATGCGGCGGTTCCTAAGAAGTTACAAGTGTCATTTATGTGTATATAATAATGCAATAGTATATTACTTAGGTCTATCACTATTATGTAATACATTATACACACACATATTTTCCCCAAAAATAAAGAGTATCACCTGTCCGAGAAGCTCTATCCTTGGTAAGCTCAGCTGCAGCTTCTGTACGGGACTTCATGTCTGCCTGGGGCGAGCCACAGACGAAGGCAGAGATGGCTGTGGGAGACAAATATAAATAACATCTTGCCCCAATACATCTAGATGAAGAATGGGAAAGCAACAGGGCGTGACTTAATCTAAGTGGAGGTTTGAAAGCCATAGAAGAAAGGGTAGACATCCTATACGACCTAATGATGAAGATTTTAGAGCAAGAAAAGATACCGAAAGAGTGGGGGAAAGTATACTGGTATCTATTTTCAAAGGTAAAGGTGATGTCCAAGAATGTAGCAATTATAGAGGCATTAAACTTGTGTCCCACACTGTGAAAATATTGGAAAGAATTATAGATGGCAGACTAAGAAGGAAGAGATATAGGGAAAGAACAGCTAAGATTTATGAAAGGAAGTGGAACATCTGATAATATTTTGTCTTAGGCAGGTGATGGAAAAATTCAGAAAAGCAAAGAGATTTACATATGGTATTCATAGACCTTGAAAAGGCCTATGATAGAGTACCAAGACAAGAATTTTGGAGAAGTCTGTGAGAGAAGATGGTTCCTGAAAAGTATGTTAGAATGATACAAGAAATATACCAGAATGCAATCACCAGGGTGAGAAGCAGTGTTGGAGAGATGGATGGCTTAGAGGTAAAAATGAGACTACATCAGGGTCGGTACCTAGCCCATTAATCTTTAACATTGTGATGGGTGTGATGACCAGAAATGTAAGAGAGACAGTGCCATGGAGCAATTGTATGCTGAAGACGTTGTATTGTGTGCAGAGAGGAGCGAGGATCTAGAGGTAAATCTAAAAGGTGGAGAACAGCATCAGAGGAAAGGGGAATAAGAATAAGCAGGTCCAAAACTGAATATATGTCACCAGCACAGGTTGGTAAAAGTGGTAGAAATATCAAAGAAAATGTGAGAAGGGAGACTGAGGTGGTATGGACACCTGCTGAGAAGGGACGAAAACCATGTTGGAAGACATGCAATGGAGATGGAAGTTCAAGATAGAAGGAAGAGGGGAAGACCAAGAAAGAGATGGTGAGACTGTGTAAGGGATGACCTGCAACTGAAAGGAATTACAGAAGAGGAAGCAAAATAGAAATCAGTGGAGGTGGCAACCCCATATAGAAGTGGGAGAAAGCCGAGATGATGATGATCTTGCCTAATGCATAAGAAGGTGGGGGAGTGCATAATCATCTGGTAATTAATCCCATTTCACAAAATTCTCTCTCATAAAAAAATCCACAGCAAGACTTGACTAAAAAGAAAAAAAGAAGTATAAGTATAAGGAGATGATGAAGAGAAGAAGAGAAGAAAGAAAGAAGAGAAGAAAAAAAAAAAAAAAAAAAAAATGGTGCATACCTTAGGCATCTTCTCATCCTCCTCAGCCACCTCCTGCACTCGTCTGCCTCGCATATCCCCATGGATCTCCGCCCGCAAGTCTCCCCTCAAGTCTGGAGTGGGACGGTGCTCCCCGCGAAAATCTCGGGCTTCCCTCTGTGGTCAACATGCTGCTGATCTTGCACCACACCTCCCAGCCTGGAACAAAGAGAATCATGTCACACCCAGCCTGGAATACAAACTGTTCTTTTCTATTGCAGAATACCCTAAAGCAACTTTTTTCGGCCTTTCCTCTCCTGCAGCATCCCTGAATTAATTTCTAAGAGTTGGGGAAGCCTATATGAAAAATATCATTTTCTTTCTCTTTCTAAAAAAAACTAAGTATATATATGTAGGTGAATGGGGAATGCACCTGCACACCAGGAAGCAGAGAAGTTGCTGAAAGGTGTGCATGTATCTACACTTGACTTCCTGATCTGCTGTTATGCTATCTATCCAGTAGAAGTTAAGTAAAGGCTATTTCTTTCAATATTATATCATACCCAAGAATCTCCAGAGAATATGACCTTTATGTAGAGTAAATCAATTACATCAAATTTATATTTCTGCAATATTGACCTATATTTCTTGTAGCCCCCCTGGTAACCTCTAGCAGCACCTTACTCAGAAAGAGGAAGTGAGGCAGAACCTAATATCAATTCAAGGAAATAAAAGTAAAGTAATCTTCTTACCTGGCAAAGACCCCCCCTGGGGTCTTCGCTTGGCTGGGGCTCTTCATCTCTCCCACCAGAGGATAGACGTACTCTCCGCTGCTCTCCACGCTGGCTGTGGGGTCAAAAGAATTTAATGAAATAAATGTTTTGCATAAATAAGCTATATATATATATGTATTCGTTAACAACATTCAGAAAGTAGATATCAATACAATATATGATTACTATTCAATAATATAAATAAGCAAGCTCAATGTAACAAGAGTATAATCAAACAAGTTTGGCTGCTGCAGAATTACTTTACCACTTTGTCATGTAACTGATGTGTGTTTTTTCCCAGATGTGTAATGTTGCAAAAATACTTTAGAGGGGGGGGCAGAATTTCCTAGCAAAATCTTTTAGTCTGAGAGGTGCTCTCCTCTCTATTTGCAATCAACAGTGATGAAGCTAAGACACTCACGCTGGAAGTCTTTTTTAGGACATATGTTTTCCCTGTTGTCTATGGCTATGGCTGTGGTATACAAGATTATTCAGTAATAGAAACTAGAGACTTTAAGCTCTCTATGAAAGGCTGTAATCCTTCAACAACTGCAAACTAAGCCAAACAAGTGAACAACTTTTTAGCTTACACTAAACAACACCTATGACTGTGTGCCAGGGACACTATTCTAGAGTAGATTGAATTTCATCAATGACATAATGCACTATTATATAATTAATGGGGGGGGGGGGGACAGTGTGAACTTTCATAGATTTTGCTGAAAGCTGTTGGATTCCCATAGTTTTTTTTCTTTTTTGTTTGTGTGGCAGTTCGTAGTAGAGTGTCAAATCAAATATTGTCGATGGAGGAAATGGTACTATTATCTCCTTAATGATTACAGAACATTCACAGAAGAAACAATGCCACTAATCGATGAAATAATTTCCTGCAGAGTGATATCAGATTTCTTCAAGTTACTCTCTGAGAGGGTGTGATGCTATCGGTAACAATTACCAATGTCTTCTAAGGCCGGGTAGGGCAAGGGGTACAGCCATTGGTATTAGATAATATAGCGATATAACTTTGCCAGCAACTTCCCTGGTACTTTTTCATGCCCTTGTAGCCGACCCCCACAACCTACAGCACGGCATACTTCCCTAGGTTGGGTCCAGGTTCACAGCCTGTCCTCTCACCCTCACCATCAGCAGCTTCTCAAAGACGCATACCGAGACCTGAGTGGCTGACACTGGAAACCTCACGGCTTGCCTATTGGACCACAGGCTCCCCTCGTTCCCAGGTAGCTGGCACAGCTCAGCCCTACTTAAGCTCTGGCACCCGGGCCGAGTTCAGCACTCACGATCCTCCAGCAATGTAAGACAACAGCAGCTGCAACTAGGCTTACCCAGGCCATAGCCGTCGGGGGAGCCGCCCAGGCTCTCCCCGTCGATCCCGAGCACCCAGCCATACCTATGGGCACTCGCACCCACACACAAAAGCTCCTTAAAGAGATGATTGACACCAGTCTATGGCGGATACAAATCCATTGCCATACCCTCCCCTGCAATTGTGGTCAAGAATGTTGGGGTTTGGGTACTTCCATGGCAGTTATTATTACTGAGTGACACAGTGATAGTGGAAATGGACACCGCCATCTTATTGAGCATAAGAAATAGTGATAAACAACACAGACACCACTGCTGTAGTTTAATATTTTAAAAGTTGCTAATACAGGGGTACAGGGGGGTTGGTCCCCTGTCTGGGGGATGATAAAACGTAGGAAAGGTTAGCTTTTGGTTCACATAATACCCTGGTTTTGAGAGCTTGTCACAAAGGGTGTGTTGCTCTCGATAACAAATACCTCCACGGCAAATGTCCAACAAAAACAGATAGTATCGGCTTAAGAGGAATCCACTACCACTACCATTGTGATCCGCCATGCGCAGGTATTCTAAACAATGACCATCATCCTCAACTGACCCTAGCTTAGTGCATATCGTCAACTGACCCTCGCTTAGTGCATCCATACCTAAAGATCAATCAATCATTTGCCTTGCCCTTGGCCCCCTGATTGCCAAGAATCCACAATCAGTGCCTTTGAGCATCACATCAACCTACAAGCGAAGTCGTGAATCTCGTCTGCAAATAATCTCATCTCGTACAGTTGTAAACGAAAAAAAAAAAAAAAAAAAATCGTTTGTTTGGCCATCGTCTCTGCCACGCCGTCCATGAACATTCATTATAATATGTAACTACATTTTTCCTCTAGGATTTGACTATTTGATCTCATTAGGCTTACAAATTGTCGTATTTCTTTAGATTATGCGCTCTGTATGATCAGAGCAAAAAATAACGAAGGGATAATTAGAAGAATTGATAAAATCGCGGACGAATCGAAGAAAAATAACGAATCGACAAAATGCAATTACAAGTTAAGGAAATTTAATATATTTCCGTTCATTTAATAAATCAAAGCTTGTGAAATCGGTAGAGACATCATTAAGGTGGCATCTATTGTCATAAAAGCCAACACTCAAATCTGCTCTTGGCAATGTAGAAAATAACAATGAAAAAAATCAATTAAAAACACGCTTGGAATGACGCCACTCCTTCCATCACGTGACGGTTCCCTTGGATTTTGTAGCTTTTTTCACTCAAACTTACTTCGGGTCATTAAAATCCCTTCCTGTTAGCTTTCTCAAGTTCTCATCGACGCCTTTTAAGTCCTGCTTCGCCCTCTCTATTTCCGTTTCTATGGCGTCGACGAGCGAGGTTCCCGTCACGCCCGGCGCCATCTTGCTCTCTGGTCCGTAGGTCAGGCTCGCGTACTTGATTTTCATTGAATGTCTTCATGTTCATT